ATGGGGATGCGTCTGCCTTTATGCCTGTGTCTTTCTCGTGCAAGGACACTCCGTGGCCGCCCGCCGAGTGGCAGAGTCGCCGGTCCGGGCCTTTCCCGCCATCCCTGGATCCGGCCCGCGCCAGCCGGGCAGGGGGAGGCGGACGGTGAGCCCCGCTCGGCAGAATCCGCAGACCTGGAGACCGTCCCGGCCGCTCGGGACCCCGGCTCCCTCTTGGCTCGCAGCCAAGGGGCCCTGTGTGCCAGCTGCCCCTGCACGTCCTGTCAGCTCGGCCACACGAGTCCCCGGAAACAGTCGGTGACGCAGCCCCGGCACCGTGAAGGCCGTGTCCCGCGTGAACACAGCCGTCCCCTGTGTCCACACCTCTCACACTCTCACAGCGGGGGCCACTCTCACAGCACGCGTTTGCGGACGCGTCCCCCCAGCTGACGTGAGTGCCGTGACGCTCACTCGGGGTGCTGGGTCTCTTGAGGCCCCCGGCCCCTCTCTCTGCCTCACGCAACCTCCACGTGTCGGCTCGGCCTTTTAACTTCGCCATGTCTGGGACGGCGGGTTGTCCTGCGTCACTTCTCCATTGCCTTTGTTACAGATTCCCACCTGGACAAGGGTGCACATTTTTCCTTGTCATCATTTCTGTGGATTGATCTTTTTCTTAGACACTTCTTAATAGATCTGGGATTTATTTTTGTGTGAAAGGCAGGGAGGAAATATATATATTTATATATATATAAATTTTTTTTTCCAGCTGTAACTTAACAGTTCTTTGGAAATTTGCATGTAAGATCTTCTCTGTTGTCTTCACCAGCACGGCCGTTACGAGCACTCCGTCCGTCGTGTGGCCCAGCAGCTCCCTTCACTGCAAGCACATCTGACACGATGATAGTCGTGTCAGTCCCACTTACCGGATTCTCAGATGCTCTTGACCGAGCTTTGCAGGGAGGTGGCTGGGTGGGTGTGGGGACACGGTGTCCCCGTTTCTTGGCTGCTCTGCTTCTCCGGGTCTCGTCGCGGGGCGGGGGGCTGCGGGTACTGGGGACGGAACCGGGACTTTTCCCAGAAGAGGCCACATTTTGGGGGACCAAGGCTGGCCTGCTCTGTGGACACGAAGGGCCCCCCTCCCCTGCCTCCAGGAGGCAGCCCGGGCCTGGGCTGCAGTGGCGCACTTGGGTCCACACAGCGGGTTGCTTGGGAAGGTTTCTAACGGCACCAGAAGGGACGGTCCCAGGCCCCACCCTCATTCTCACGACGTGCCTGCAGCTGATGCTGGGCTTGTATCGAGCATCTGGAACCCTCCCTGGAGTGTCCCTCCCGCTCCCCCAGACCCCGCCGGCCCTCCGGGGCTCCCACGCTGCCGTCCCCACAGCACGGCTCCCAGACTCTAACTCGCTGGGGGCAGAGACGGCTCTGCCTTCCTCGTGCTGCACAGAGAAGACCGACAAACAGGACAGGGACTGGACGGGAGGACGGAGCTCGGCGGAGAGAAATTCGAGGTCAGGTGGGAGGACTGTGCCCCCACCACTCAGTTGTCCCGTTTGCAAGGAGCCGGGAGGACCGGTCCCGTCCCGGGCTCACGATCTGCTCCCCCGACGAGGGGCCCAGGCTCTGCCCTCAGCCCCTCCACCAGACGTGCCGCGCGTGGCCGGCTTTCTGTTTATGGAGAAAAGAGAAGCTACACTGACCAAAGCCTGGGTCACGACATAGTGACGCACAAATGATAAACAGGAAAAACAAGACTAAATTTGGCAACACGACCTGGAAAGGTTTGCACGCAATGACTGCCATCAAAGAGCCAGAGGGAATCTTGAACTTGAGGCTCTCCGCTCCGGAGACAAAACCAGAGCCAGCGATAAAAATCCGCATGAACTAGAAATGCCCAGCGACCGTTTTCGACTCGGGGCGCCGTGCTCCGCTCGAGTCTCCGGGGTGGCAGTTTGCACTCACGGCTCTGGCTCACGACTCAGTTTCTCCTTTGTCCTCCCCAGGGTCTGTGTTCTCTGCTCTGCTGGAATCTGTGCCCACCGGCCCAGCTCCGGGCACCACTTCTCTCCAACGAGCCTCGCCTGCTCTCCCGTAAACCCAGGGCTGGACGATGCGCTCCCCGGGGGCCTCGCAGCAGAGAGGCCCTGCTCCTCTGGCACAGCCAGAAGAGGACCCGCTGTGCATCACTGGGGTGCAGACGATGACGAGCCAGACCCCAGCAGGGCTTTGAGGCTGGGGGCTCGGGGCCGTGGGGGCACAGAGAAGGCTGGGCTGTGCAGGCACCACTGGGAGACCCGCAGCCCTGCCCGCGGCCCTCTCTGCCAACGCGCGGCCCTTCTGGGTCACCCGCAGCCACCGCGGTCACCGGGGTCTGGCATTGGGACAGGAACAGCAGCAGTGGAACGGAGGAGGAGTGGCCGAGGAAGCCCCGGGGGTGTGCAGCCCACCCCACAAATGGGCCCAGCTCGGTGTGTGCGGCCAGGAACCCGCGTGCTACGTCCTTGTCCCCGGGAAACCCCGTGAGGCAGGTTCTGTTACCGTCCCTGTGAGGAGAGTGCGTGGAGAGCAGCGCCGCCTCCCGGTGACAGAGCCAGGACACGTGCCCAGCGGCCACTGCTCCCCAGCAGGCGGGCAAGGAGCGCGCGGTCGCGGCCCCAAAGCCAAGGTGGACTCCGGAGAGCCCGAGTACCTGGAGGAGAGTGAAGCCAGCGTTAGAGCAGAGGGCAGGCGGCTGTCCTGGGACCAGCAGTGACACAGGACTTTTTGTTTCTGTAATTCTGATAAGGTGGGCATAACGTCATGCCGACCATTTAACCATTTGCAAGTGGCATTAAATCCATTCACAGGGGGCGCCCGGGCAGCTCAGGTCACGATCTCACCGTTCCGGGGGTTCGAGCCCCGCGTCGGGCTCTGTGTCTCCCTCTCTCTCTCTGCCCCTCCCCACGCTCTCACTCTCTGTCTCTCATAAATAAATAAACATTAAAAAAAAACCCCATTCACAGTGTTACATAACTGTCACCACTGTCTATACCAGAACTTTGTCATCATCCCGAACAGCGACTCTGTCCCCCTCCCCCTCCCCCACCCCTAGCTGCCACCCGGCTCCTTTCTGTCTCCAGGAATTTGACTGCTGAAGGGACCTCGTAGAAACAGAGTCATAGAGTATTTGTTCTTCGGGGCCTGGCTTGTTCCACTGAGGATAATGTTCTCGGGGTTCGTCCGTGCTAACGCGTGTGTCGGCATTTTATTACTTTTTAAGGCGGAAGAGCGCCGTGCGGATAGACCCCGTCGCATTTATCTGCCCGTCCGTTGGCGGACCCTTGGGCTTCCACCTTTTGGCCGCTGTGAGTCATGCCGTTGTGCACGTGGGTGCTCTGGGACCCGAGTTCCTGGCTTCAGTTCTGTGGGACGTATACCTAGGGGTGGCACGGCTGGGTCGCGGAGCAGGTCTGTGTTTAACTCTTTGAGGAGTGCACGGTTTGTTTCGCACCGAGGCCGCACCGTGGTACAGCCCCCCCCCCCCCGCTTCCGCCCAGGGTTCACGTCCTTGCAGCCTCCTTGCCAGTGCTTGCCCACGTTCGGCGTCGTTTATTACGGCCGTCCTTGGCGACGCACTCCTTAAATAAACCTTTAACAGGACACGTCACTAGGCCAAATTGTGGAAGGATTAAACGCCTGGTCCGGTAACGCAACACCCGTACTCCTCACACTTAGGAACATTTGAGGAAATTTCCTCCCTCTGCTCACAGGGGGTGGTGCAAGGTCACCGCCCTTGGTGTATCGGTTTGCTCGTGGGAATCGTGGGGTTATTCTTATTCTCAAGTGGTGATCTCTTTCGGCTTGCTTATTTTTGCCTCAAAACGAATTCCATCTGTATTCCCAGATGGCTACGCTTTGGACAATGTCAGCACCAGAAAAGAATAATACTGAAACTGGTTAAAACGCACTAATTTTTTTAAGAATCGCTAGTGTGTAATTATCCTCAAGGACAGAGAGAAGCAGTCTTTCTCTTGATTTCCAGTTCCAACAGGAATGGGAAGATCGCCATTTTGTGACCCTAAATGATGCAAGCAAGAATCACGTACAAATGCTAACGCTCTTGGCTGAAGGAGTCGTGGGAGCCCACAGAGCCCTCCACACCAAGTATCACCCTGCAGCTCACTGACTATGTACAAAGGGACGTGTGGGGGCACTGATGGCTTGCCCCCTTAATCACATCGTCAAGTTTAGCATCACGTAGTGAGGGTAACGCAGCACACACACATCATCCGCTGTGATCGGAGACACGTGGCATCACCCAGCAGAGATCTCCCCCCAGAACGTTCAGCCTCAATCTTACAAAGCGTCCAGACCCGACCTCAGTTTGCAAGGAATAAAGGAGTTAGAACCCCCAATGAAGCAACAATCAAACACACCCACAATGTGGAAGAGGCTACGAGAAGCTGGCCTGGCCTCACCGAAATGTCCACCGAACACGAGGCAAAAAGTGTGGGACCGTTCTGTTCTAGAAGCAAATAGAATAAAGAATTGTAACAAGCGGATATAATGAGTGAACCTTGACCCCAGATTGGAAAAAGCAACAGCTGTAAATGACGTGGCGGAGGGTGTGGAATATGCATTGGATATTAGGTGACAGTGGGACATGATTGTTAGTCTTCTTAGAGGTCATGGCCGTGTCGGGGGTAACGTAAGAGACTGTCCTTCCTCCTAGGACGTGCTGGTGCACATGCACCTAGGGGTCAAGCGTCACGGGGCCGGCGATTTATTGTCGGAGTTTGGGCTAAAATGTGCGTATGTGTGAAGAGAGAAAGGAGGAAGGCAAGTGTGCTAGAACGCGAGCAGTTGTTGGCTGTAGGTAGACGAGTTGAGGGTGACCATTATCCTAGTATTCCGACTTCTGTATATGCCTGAGAACTGTAACAGAACATCGCGGGAAGTGGTTTGTTGCTAACGTGTTAGGTAACGTGCTCTCTAGAACGCCGTTCTTGTCTCTTGAAAGCCTTTGTTTTTCTGTTTTGCAGTTCGGGACCGAGTCCGATCGAAGATGGAAAGAGACATTTTGGCAGAAGTGAATCACCCTTTCATTGTGAAGCTTCATTATGGTAAATAGAGTCAAACATAACCTACTTTTGAGAGGCCCTGGCGCCACCTTCCCCAAATCCAGGGAAAATGAAACCGCGTGCTGGGACAGAAGGAGAAACCCCCCCCCCCCCCCCCTGTCGAGGGCCTGCGTGGCGTGGGGCTGCCTCCTCTCTGTGGTCCCGTGATCTCTTCCGTGGTCTGCCTCTCTGAGGGAGCAGGATGCCCGGTTCTAATCGGAGACAAAAGTGGGGGGGGGGGGCTCGACTTTGTTACTAAATTATCATCACTGATACAGTAAAAAAAAAAAAAGTCTCTTGGCCTAGATTGGGGAGAATCTGTGATCTATTTTTGTGTTGTTTTAGAATGAAATGCCGTATGACCCAAGAATTTCTTTAACCAGAATGGCATCACCTTCCGTATTTTACGTGAAGGCTAGGTTTCAAGCATCTTAAAGATTGTAGCTCATGGGACCCTCAAAACTTCCTTTCAAGGAGGTTACCGTTTCCATTTTCTGGAAGGGAAATGAGACCCAATTCGAATAATTTTGATGTTTGCGGCCCCGTGCCTACTCTGCCACGCCGAGTCCTCCTAGTTTGCTTTCGGTCGTTTCTCCCCTGGGGAAGCAGGAAGTGCGGTCTTCGAATGAAAAGTAACAAATGAACGGGCGACTCTGGAATCATGCCAGACCGCGTTAACGCTTACGACCCTAGCAAATAACTAATATGCGTCACGTGCAGGAGAAAAAGAAACAAAACGAAACCCCTACCTTGTCGGTTTCGAAGGCGCTGGGTGTGGGGCGTGGTCCCAGACGTTTACACAAATCAGAAGGAAGCAAAGGCATAAGCCGAGTCCAAAGATGGGAGGAGGGCAGAGACTTCTAGCTCCTCCTCACTGTTAACTTCCGATATTGCTAAGAAAACACTTCAGTCTCGTGTAGAAAGTGTGTGGCCCATCTTTTCAGAGCTAGTACAAGTGAATATGGATGCGAACTTGCTGGAAGCCGGTGGTGAGTGAGACTTCTCTGGCTGGCAGGCAGGTGCCCCTGGGTCTGTCTCTCAGCGTCACCTGGGCTGGCAGGTGCCCCTAGGTCTGTCCCACCATGTCACCTGGGCCGGCAGGTGCCCCTGGGTCTGTCCCGCAGCGTCACCTGGGCCGGCTGGCCGGCAGGTGCCTCTGGGTCTGTCCCGCAGCGTCACCTGGGCTGGCAGGTGCCCCTAGGTCTGTCCCGCAACATCACCTGGGCCATTGGGTGGGTGCCCCTGGGTCTGTCCTGCACCTGGGCTGGCAGGTGCCCCTAGCTCTGTCCCACCGTGTCACTTGGGCCGGCAGGTACCCCAGGTCTGTCACACCGTGTCACCTGGGCTGGCCGGCAGGTGCCCCTACCTCTATCCACAGGGGCCCTCGGGAGGCTGGCCCTGCCCCTGACACGCAGCCGTTTCAGCTGGTTTCCAGGGCGTTTCTCTGAAGAAGCACCGGGCGTCTTACCGGGATTTTAATCGCACCTTCCGTGTCAGCTCTGTGGTTGATCAAATGACATTTGCTCTCCTGCTGCCCGTCAAGCCCTAGGAGAGAGGATCCAACCCAGCCTCCGATTTATACAGTTCGGACGAGTCTTTAGGTAGAGGAGGTCTGTCTCTCCAGCCCTGGCACTTGTAGTGCCTCTGGCGTTTACTTCTAGAAAATAAAAGGCTTTCGAGTGCTCAGGGATATCGGGACCCCCGCAGCCTTACCTCCTGTGTACATAACACAGATGCCAGGTGGTAGGTCGTCAATAACGTTGAACTGGCCGTCAGTGGTCAGCGGTGATTGGTTTCCCTTGACCCCCACATGCACGTCCAGCCCCCTCTGGAGCGAGGCACGCTGGCTGACCGGTGGGCAAGACCTGAAATTATAGTTCACGGTGAACAAACCCCGGACGTGAGCCCCATTGCCGTGACGCACAGCGGCCGAGCCGGCGGGTCACCGACGCCTCCGCGAAGGAAGGGAGCAGAGGACAGACTTCCTTGACCTGCAGCTATGCAGGGTGCAGCCGGGGAGGGGAGGAGGCTTGCTCCTGCAACCACGTGAGCCCGGAGCCCAGCATTGGCAGTGGGGGTCGGGGGAGCAGGCTGGGCCTGTAGACACTGGCTCCAGGCCGGTTCCAGCCCCTCTGGGATCAAAAAGGAAGCAGGGAGTGAAGGAGAGGAGAAAAGACCAGAGAGGTGACCCTCCAGGCTCTTCCTGAAAGTGAGGGACACAGACAGACTCGTTCCTGCGGCCCTTCCCCCAGACTCTGCCCCGACCCCCGCCCGACCCCAGCCCTGCTTCTGGAAGGCTCCGGCATGTTCCTTGTGTGGCCCGGGATGCCGACCCTCCCTCCTTCCACAGCCTTTCAGACGGAGGGGAAGCTGTACCTGATACTGGACTTCCTGCGAGGAGGGGACCTCTTCAGCCGGCTCTCCAAAGAGGTGCGCGGGGCCGGGAGGGCGGAGTGCGCCCGCGGGAGGGGCGGGTGCATGCTGCGTGTGACAGTGTGTGTGCGTGACTGTGTGGTATGAGTGTGTGAGTGTGTATGTGGGGGGGGGAGAGCGTGTGGGAGTGTCAACATGCGCGCGCGTGTTCGCTGTGGGGTCGTGTGTGTGTGTGCACACTCGTGTGTGTGTCTGTGTGTGTTAAACAGGTGGCACAAGGGGTGCGGCGCGGCATCTGTCATCCTTCAGGGGCCGTGAGAGCACAGCCCCGAGGAGCCCCGCGAGGCTGCGCATGTCCGTCGGTCCGTCCGTGGCTCTGTCCGCCTCCCTGTGAGGAGCGGACGCAAACAAGGGGTCGTAGGAACAGGCGGGAGGGACTGTTTCACGGGGTCTCACTCTGCGTCGTAGGGAGACGCGACTCCCTCGCTGCCCACCCACCCTGGAGGTGCCAGATCTGCACACACGGGGTCGCCACGACCACCAGCCCCTTCCCGGCCCCAAGGCGTAGCCTGGACCTCACAGTCCTGACACAGGAGTTGTCCAGAACGCCACCCCGCGCGACACGAGAGCCCCCCCGGCCCCTAATTGACGTGAAGAGCTCCGTGCTTTGTGGCCGGGGGGTGGGGGGGGGAACCAGCCTTCTGCTGAAGGAGGCGGGAGCACCGGGCTTCCGACCTCCCGAGCCCTCTCACCCAGCGCAGGTGTTTACCCGGCTGTAACCGTGGGCTCAGAGTGCCCGCCCCCTTCTTCTCCCCCTCCTTTACCAGGAGACCCTTCCATCCTGCCTGGCCGTCCAACACGGACAGTAGACGGTAGAGCAGGACTGGGGGGTCCCAGAGCCCCCTGCACTGCTGTCTCCCTCCGTTATCAAGGGTCCCCCAGACCATGCACAAGTGATACATTGGGCTCCTTGCGATAGACGTAGAAGGCCCGGGGCTGGAGGAATCCGATCCGGGCTCTGCAGAGCGCCTCCTGGAGCGGGTGTCTGGTCCCTCTTGTGCTCACGTGTTTCCGAAGATGGCTTCTTGATCAAAAGGCAACAATAGTCAGCAAAAAGCCCCATATGGCCTCACTAGGGGAGCGTGTGTCTTCCGTGACACCCTTTATTTCAGAATCGAGGCAAAATTTCCAAGTGTGGGCACGGCAGGTTCTCAGAAACAATACGGGAAAGTGCCTTTTTTCTGTTCCGTCTTTGAACGAGGCCAGTGGGCAGCGTCCTGCCGTGTTGGTCACTGCACTGACTTCCTTCAAGGACGGGCGTCTGTGGGGTGTTTCATTTCTGTGCAGAAACGACTCGTCATTTGTACTCGGGGGCTATGCTGAGATGTGTCCTAGGAACTGGACAAGTAGAGAAGTAGGGCTGTGCTCTGAGCACAGAACGCAGACAACCCGTGACGGTTGTAGAGAGAGAAGAAGTCAGATTAAAGAGAGTCCAATGGCTATGGCAGAACTTGACTAAAAGTGAGCCCGCGGAACATGGTAGCCAGTTTAGAAAAGAAAGACCCAGCCGGAAGAGGCAGCCGTTGAGCGTGGGGTGACGACGGGTGGTTCCAACGGCCAGAAGGCTGATGAGGATTGACGGCCCCAGACGTCACTGCCTGGGACGATGGGATGTGTGTCCCGACCCCGTGGGGAAGTGTCCCTTCTGTGGGATGGATGCCCTGCACCTGTGGCAGCCTGGAGTATCCACCACCCAGTTCCCTGAACTGCCCTTATTCTAATTCTGTGCTCACCAGGGAGCCTTGTCTGCATCCAGAGAAGGAAGTCAGCAATAATACGCCCTGGCGTCTCTGTGACATTGGTTTCTCACGGTGAACATAAAAAAGTGGCTTGTGATAACAAGCTGGCTTTCTAGTAAGGTGACTTTAAAAGCCGCCCGCTGGTCCTTAACGGGACCAGAGGTACGGAACTGTCACCAAGATAATGGCTTTGAAGTCTGCCGGGCACCCGGCCTGGGGTATGCCTCGGCTAGCCCGCCTCGGGGTGCCCCCACGACTCTCCCCCACGTGCGTGTCGCCTTCGGCAGAACTCGCCTCACTTTGGGCAGACAGTGGGTTTGCGTAAACCCCGGGGCAGGGCGGGGGGGATGAGACCCGAGGTGCGTTCTCAGCAGCCCCTCATCCGGCTTCGCCTGTGCCGTTTCATAGCAGAACCACTCACATCAGAACATACACCCAGAAACACCCCCCAGAGCCATGTGAGCTGCGGGGGCGAGGAGGAGGAGGAAACCAGGCTCCCCGCTCACAGGCTAAGTTCGCGGGGAAGTGCTCTTCCGCCTTCGCTGACCTCACAAGTATGAAGAGAACTCACTTTTCCGTCGTAAGAGCCCGAAGAGCACGGTGGGGGGAGCTGTGATCCCCTCCGGAGCGGAGGTAACTGAGCGTGCGCTCCGCAGGGCCGGGTCCGTCAGAACACCCCGGCCACAGGACGCGCCGAACAATCCCGCTCTTTCCTACTTTCTCACTAGGTGATGTTCACGGAGGAGGATGTCAAGTTCTACCTGGCTGAGCTGGCCTTGGCGTTAGACCACCTGCACGGCCTGGGGATCATCTACAGGGACCTGAAGCCCGAGAAGTAAGCGAGCGCGCGAAGGACGCCCCTCCGCACCCCCTTTCTTGCTGTCCCCGCCGGTGGCCGTCGCCCGCTGGTGGGTGCACCCCGGAGAGAGGGCTTGGGCCACCCTCTCGCGGACGCCTCCCACGCGGGTTCCACCTGTCCGCCCCCGGGAAGGTGTCCCAACGGGTGCGACTTACGCTGGGGGTCCCACCCTTCCTCCAGAGCCTTTACTCTGATCCACAGCGAGCTAAGAAAAGACAGCTCTCCTCCGAAGCCATTTTTACCAGATGTGGCGGCCGTTTATGGGACACGCCCGGGTGACGTTGTGCCCGCACACGATGCAGAGTTCATTTGCCCAACACCGGTGGGAAGTTCAGGTCGTGTATGGCTTTGACTTAAGCACCTAGAGCAGGTAGCCACAGTAGAACAGCACCGGCTGCACACGTAAATAAATGGTTCCGTAATCACAAAAGGCCCTGTCTTCCGTGTCCCCACAGAGGGGACAGTGTCCTGTGAACTACAGCCGTCTCCCTTAGGGAGCGGTAGCAGGAGCGGATCTCAAAGCTGCGAGCCCTGGGCGCCCGTTAGGCGTGCACCCCGGTTCTCTCTCTCTTTTAAAGGGCAAAGGGATCGTTACAGTTAAAAATAGTAATATTTAATAGCAGAGTGGAAGAAAGATCTTGTCATCAATTGGAATTAGTAGGAGATGAATCTTGAAAGTTGCTCCTTTCTGGGCAGAGATGAAGCACAACTGAAAGGCGGAGATGAAAATACTCGCTTCTTTCCTGATAAATTGTCTTCTTAATTATGTGCCGCACCATTCCCCTTCAGATTCCGTTAAAACAGTCGGCCTTTTTTTTAATCTCAGGGCATAGCTTTTAATCGTGGTAAGAAAAACAATATAAAATTAGCATCTTCACTAATTAAGTTCACTTTTAAATTTTTTTACTGTTTCTTTTTGAGAGCGAGAGAGGTACAGAGCATGAGCGGGGCAGGGGCAGAGAGAGAGGGAGACACAGAGCCCGAAGCAGCTCCAGGCTCCAAGCCGCCCGCACAGAGCCCGACGCGGGGCTCGAACTCACGAGCCGTGAGATCGGGACCTGAGTTGAAGTCGGAAGCTTAAGTGACCGAGTCCCCGGGCGCCCTGACATCTCAGCCGTTTTTAAGCGTGCAGCCCTGTGACGCAAAGCACACTCACATGGCTGCGTGGCATAACCCACCTTCCACACTCCCTTCTTGCAAAACCGAGTATCTGTCCCCGTGAGACACTCACTCCCCTCACCACCCTCCTGCCCCTGGCACCCCCACTGCTGCTTTCTGCCTGTGAATCTGGCTGCTCTAGGCTCCCCCAGCCCCGACCCCCGTGTAAGTGGAATGCACGGCGTTTCCTGCGTTGTGCCTGGCCCACCACGCTCCGGTCCATCCGCGTGCTAGAGTGGGACGGTGTGGCTTCTGTCCATTCCCGTTACTGGTCTCTTTAAGTCTGGGCTGGTACCCCTGCCACCCAGAGCTGATGCAACAGGATCTAATGACAGCAAAAGAAAGAATGGAAAGCTAGGAGCCCCGGGGACCCTGAGGGCTGACAGCCGGAAGAAGGGCCTCCTCAAGTGCCTGCGGGCCTGCGTCCGCCCTTCCAGACTCCCCCTCTGCCGGCCGGTGAGCAGTGCCCTCCCACGGGAGAGCCGGGCGCGGAAAGGCCAGTGCCCTTCCCCCACCCCAGGGCTTCTAGATGTCAGATGCCGCTGTGACAAGAGCTTGGACCCAGCTCCTATGGCAAGGCGAAGCCTGCCGAGCCCCAGGGCTCCTCGGTGCCAGGGCCCAAGGTGTCACAGGCTCCCCAGAGCCTGGGGTGGTCACGAGAGCCAGGGTGGGGCTCACGGAGGGGCGACGGGAAGAAGTAGGGGGCCTCTGACCCAGAGAAAAAATGCACGAGGCTCCGGATCTGCACAGGCCAAGGCGATCCCGGACCCTGAAAATCACATTCCCCGCAGGACAGTCTGAAGGGTTCCCGACCCTTCCCGTGGGCTTAAGAAGGTCTCAGGCCTGCGGGTCCCAGCTTTTGCCGGGTTAACCCCAAACACCGTGGATCTGAGTCCGCTCGTGCCCCGGCAGAAGCTGCTGGCGGGGGAGGCCGTACTGTGCAAGCCCACGTCGGTGCGTCGCAGGCGAGCCCGTGTGCTGACTGCCACCCAAAGTCGCGCCCGCCAGCCCGGCTGGGCCGCTCCTGAGGCATGCTTTCTCCTCTCTCTTTCAGCATCCTGCTGGACGAAGAGGGACACATTAAGATCACAGGTTTGTAAAGGGCAGCGGTGTCCCGGTGACTTCCCCCTGGCCCGGTAAATGGGGGAGCGGCCTGGACCCAAAGTCCCCCTTCGCCTGCATCGGCTGCTGTGTGTCTCTGATTTGGCTGGCGTTTTCACAGATGAGGATGAGCTGTGTGTGTGTCCACACAGCATCTGGAAATTCTCGAGCTTGCCGGGTTCCCTTCCGTTTCTCTCTCCTTCTGACCGAAGACCTTCCAGCACGTTCCCTGCAGACTCTCAGTCCGGGCTGTTTTGGAGCCGTCTTCTCCACACCCCTTCCTCCCAAGACCCCTCTTCTCCGCATACCTTCCCCCCCCCCACCAGGCCCCCTCTTCTCCTCACCCCTTCCCTCCGAGGCCCCCGCTTCTCTGCACCCCTTCTCCCCGAGGCCCCCTCTTCTCTGCAACCCTTCCTCCCTGAGGCCTCTTCTCCGCACCCATTCCCCTCCGAGGCCCCCTTTTCTCTGCACACCTTCCTCCACGAGGCCCCCTCATCTCGGCACCCCTTCCTCCCTGAAGCCCCCTCTTCTCCACACCCTATCCCACCGAGGCCTCCCCTCCCCTCTCCGTGGCCCCCACGCAGTCTCGCTGCCACATGTCCCCACACCCTGTTTTCCCACAGGGGAGTTTTACCCAGTGCCAGTACTGGGCACGGTGCATCTAGTCCCTGGCAGTAAACATTGATTATACATTTCTACATGCTTGTTAATGTTGAAAGTTAGGTCTAAAATTTCTCATGAGCTTCTATACCAGATCCTGACTGTCCGTTTAACCGGACCTTCAGACCCCGTTGCCTGGCACAGCTGTAGGGCACCTGTAATGTCCTGTCATCAGAGTTATGGGGCATTTGGTGGAGGTTTAAGCTTCTCTTAATACTTCAGAAGTTTTCTTTGCCAAACGAGGAACTGCACGTCTAGAATATAGACGTGACACTTGTGTGCAGTGTTTGCGAATAGCCTTGAGCTCCCACGTCAAATGTATCTGTGATGTTACAGGGTTTGGGCTTTCTCTGATCAAGTAATCATGCTTCTGTTATTATTATTATTATTATTATTATTATTATTATTATTATCATCATCATCATTACTCATGACCCAGGGCTAATCCTGTGTCATGATTGGCCATTTGGGCCAGGCGCAAATTACAAACAACCGCTCCCAGGCACTGATGTGCAGAGCAAGTCATTCAGCTGGAGGAAGCACATCCACCCGTAGGTAGTGTGACCCCCTTGCCCGGCCTGTGACCTCACGCCACCCTCACCGGGCCCTGACGGAGACGACGGACTGTGGCCTTCTTCCCAAACACGCGGAAACCGAGGGCCACCGTCCTGAGAACCGCGTTCCCACGACCTTTGCCCACCCAGTGCGTGGCCACGCCCGCTGTGTCAGAAGGGAGACCCTCATGAGGACTTCCTGGAGGTCGGGGGGGAGGGGTGGCCGCCCACCCCACGGCAAATGCCATCTTCCCTTTGTGCCTCAGCTCCGGGGACCACCTTCCCCAGCGGCCCGTGCCTGGAATCCCTTCCGGCCCTTGCCTTCAAGCCAACCACCTCCGTCCGTCCCAGCGGACCGGGGGCCGCGTGCTTCTCTGTCCCCGGCTTCCAGCCTGGCAGGCCCCTAGGCCTGCTTGTCGGTCCCTAAGAAGTGCCATCCCTCCGTCCTTTTAGCAGGCACTCCTGGCTTTGTAGATTCTTGAAAGACTCTGTGACTTACCGTGTGGGGGCACGATGACGCTTGCATCCAAGGAGGGTTCTGTGCTGGGACAGAGCGGGCAGGAGGGGTGACACGTGAGCCCGCACAGACGCGGTCCTGACTGCCGCCCAGACTGAAGCAGTGCCCTGTGCTGTCCCTCTTTTAGATTTCGGGCTGAGTAAGGAGGCCATCGACCACGATAAGAGAGCTTACTCCTTCTGCGGGACCATAGAGTACATGGCGCCCGAGGTGGTGAACCGGCGGGGACACACGCAGAGCGCCGACTGGTGGTCCTTCGGTGTGCTCATGGTAAGGGTCCTCCCCGTCCGCGTCGCTGTCCCTTGTGGCCGGTCCCCAGGTTGGCCCAGAGGCCCGCCAATGACCAGGGAAAACAGTGTTTGGGATGTATAAGGGCAGTGTGGCTGTGCGACCCGGGGCCGTGGAGGAGGCCACCAGATTCCTGCCCCTGCCTCTCCTGGCCGCCTCCCTCTCTGCCCATCCCAAATTCCACCATCAGGAAACAGAACTGGGTTCACGGAAGGACCCACAGGTACTAAGAGTCAAAGCTTCCTTGTACTTAACAGCCGTACAGGCTGAGCGTGAGGGTTTTAAGGGATGCGGTGATCTTCGTATTAAAGACATTTGTCACGCACAAAACCCTTCTACTTAGTCGCAAAACTTAACGTGAGCCAAGATATACATGGAGTTGGACATTTTTACATCTGCGTCTAGAAACTTGACTTTTCTTTAGCTCGTGTGTTCACACAGCACAGACACAGACGCCGCCCAGCCTGGGGCGTCCTGTCCCCAGATGGTCCTTCCTCTCCCTTCTTGGTGCCCCGTCACTCTGCCGTCCTCCCCGACAGCACTACGCTGGGGGCCCTCCGTGCTCCCGTGCCCTCAGCGCACACCAGACTTCTCAGCTGGCATGAGGCACAGCCTGTGCGTCCCAAGCCCAGCTTCTGTGCGTCCAGGCCACCACACCACATGCCTCACCTCTGTGTCCGACGCCCAGGGTTCCGGGCACCCTGTCCGGGTCCTCTTGGCACTTTGACACGTGGCCGCTATAAATCCGTCATGTTGCGAATACCCACTGGGAGCGTCTCCCAACACAGGCACTTGGGCACCGCCCCGTTGGACCCCATCACGGAGAGCAACGCCCACGCTCGGGGAGCTCCGTGACCCGTGGGGGTGACACGGCTGTGGGCTCTCACAGCCCTCAACCTCCTCCCGGGGTCCCCTGCCCTTCCTCGTCCCAAAGCTCTAGGAGACCTCTGGAGTTTGGAGAATATCGCACGGACGTCGGTCCTTTGCTTTTCCCAAGGAGACCTGGTTCCAGCAGCATCTGGCGTCATTGACACAGCAGGAACTGGGAGCGCTTGGCTCCGGGCATTTCTCACTGAGTTGGTGGGATCATCCGGTCATTTGGGTTGAAAAGACTCCACAGTCAGGGTCTCGTAACAGCCGGGGAAGCGAACGGGTCCAGAACGGTTGTGCTCGGCGGCAGGAAGCTGGAGGGGGCGTCACCGTGATAACAGGGTCTCATGGCACTGAGTTTACAAGGCGCCTTCCTTCCTTCGCATCCCATCTGAACCAAAAAATCATTAAGTTATGTGGGAAAGATCTCGTTCTTTCTGTTTATAGAAGGGGAAACAAAGGCTCAAAGAGCTTGAGTGATTAAGATCATATAATTGTTCTAAAAACCACATTCTCGTGTAGACCTGCCCACCGATCCCTTTAGCCCCCAGCGCTAACCAGCTTGCAGCCAGATGTGACGATGCCTGTTTTCCTTTGGGCAGCACCAGGAGCGACTTCCAAATTCCCACTGGCAAAGAGAGATGGGTCTAGGGTGGCATTGGTGTCGCGTCTGAGCTCGGACTTGGGAGGAGATTGGTTTAGGGCATGCCGTGTGTATCCGGTGCCCTCCACCAGCTTCGTTAAAGGGCAGGTAGGACGTAGGACCACCAAGGGAGCACCGCCAGGAACGGTCTGCACACTGCAGGGGTCGCCTCCCGTCCCCCGCACGTCCTCACTGAGGGGCTACCCCCAGACCGTCTGATGGCCACAAGTGCCCTCCAGACTCGGACGAAGATGCCTGCATGGATGGCGGAGGCCCTTGTCCTCGAACAAGATTGTCTGAAGTTAGGTCCTCGAGGCTGGAAAAGAACTCGAGCAGTAGTGGTGGTCTCCATGGCAACAGTAAATCGCTAACATCTCCACACTAGCCTGGAACTCCGTTTTCAGGAGGACGTTGGGATTGTGCTTTGTGGGTGCTTTGTAGACGTCGGAATGCTCCGAGGTCGTAAGGGAGAGGCCCTTAGATTTTTCTCTCATTTCTTAGCCACTCACACTGAGCGTGCGTGGATGTTCACACGCAGGTGTCTGTGTAAATTGCTTGGCACATACAGCTGGCTCGGGCTCAGGAGCTGCCCTAGGAAAGGAAATGAACGCCTGCACCTCTGCCCTCAAAGGACCAGGTCATGTAGACCTTCAAGCGCTCAGAGCAGGGGTGATGCACAGTGGGTGCTGAGGGTTGTGGACTAGTCTGTGCTCTGCGCCCTCCGACACACGTGCACACAAACTTATACACCCCTGCTGAGGGGCACGTGGGTGGCTCAGTCGGTTAAGCATCCGACTTCAGCTCAGGTCACGATCTCACGGTCCGTGGGTTCGAGCCCCGCGTCGGGCTCTGTGCTGACTGCTCGGAGCCTGGAGCCTGCTTCAGATTCTGTGTCTCCTGTCTCTGCCCCTCCCCCACTCTCGCTCTGTCTCTCTCTATCAAAAAATGAATAAACGTTAAAAAAAAATTAAAACAAAAACCACACCTGCTGAGCCCAGGCCAGCCCTGCCCCACCCCGGGTACGGCACCATCCCAAACATCCCATTTCCTCGTAGGATTTGTCCTTGTCCGTTTTCACATTAAGATGTAACTTGCCCTTGATTTCTTTTTTAAGAATGTTGATCAGCCAAACGAACTTGAATTGCAGGCTCCCTGCTATGAAGTGTGTCCCTTATGGAGAACCTTCTCGTTCCGCCGCTCCCGGCATCGTTTGGGTGCCTTCTGTGGTGTTGTGTCTGTGCCCCAGGGCTGGCCACTCTCTTGAGGCTCGTCAGATGTCCCTTCAGACAGGGCTTTCTACCCCAGCACTGTTGAGGTTTGGGGCTGGACAGTTCTTTGGGTGAAGGCTGTTCTATGCATTGTAGGATGTTAAGCAGCATTCCTTGCTACTCAGTGGACGTCACGGGCACCTACACCCCCAACCTCCCCAGCTTGACCATCAACCTGTCCCCAGACATTGGGAGATTCCCCCCCCCCCCACGGGAACAGCCTCCCCCATTGAGAACCACTGCTGTAGAAACGTCAAAATATTTATCCTTCTGTACATTTCCACAGGCTGCCTTGGTCCCGACCTGTGAATGGACCTCTTGGGGAACCGCCAGCACGTGTCCTGGTGTGTGGGACCCCAAGGCCGATGATGGCTTGTATCAGTTTGCCCTGGAAACCTTGGTCGGTCTCGGTATTGGTGAACACCAGAGCAAAACTCTGACTGTGTATAATGTCCCAGGAAAGCACATCAGTAAGGCCCTGATTTCATGAGATCCTTAAATACGGAGAAAGTGCTGAGCGGCTTTGTTGAGAACAGTAATACTGAAAACTGAAATGATCTCCTTTCTCCACGTGTGACAGAGAGGGAACCTGTAAGGGGGCTGGAAGCGGTGGAAATAGACTCGTGTGGGGTTCTTCACGATCACCACCACCAGCATTGTCTTCATCACCAAGAAGCATTTAGTGGACACCCACGTTTGCCGCTGTGTTAGATGCTCATGAATAGTGCGTGACCTCCCGCTGTGTTGCAAGGGGAAGAACAGGGGAAGGAGGGAGAGAAACACAAAGGCTGTGGATCCCCCGGGGTCATAGTCAAAGCGAAGAAGGAATCACCAGGCGAATGCTGCAAGTTGCTGGTTGACCCACAATAAACGGTTACATGAGGCACAGATGTTCGGGATGGGCCCCGATTTTGTAGCAATGAGTTCTCAAAGGCTTTTCCTTGCCATGGAATTTCATTCCTGAAGGAACAAAGGAGAGAGAAGGAAGAGTAGAAGCAAAATAGGAAGGGGGTTTTCTTTGCTAACAGGATTCTATTTTAAGAGATACTTTGATTTCTACGATCAACGTAGAAACTTTCATCTAGTTTTGTCAGGTGAGTGGCTCATCGGCCAGAGCATTCTACCCTTCCATTTAATTATATTTGTCTATTTTTGGATCATCTTCTGGACTCTCTGACTCTCCGTTTTTATGGCTCGTAGATTGATTGCCTGCAGTCTGTTCTGTGTGTTTTCACCGAATGAGCGCACACGGGAGGGACAGCAGGTGTTAGCACAGAGGAATGCTTCACACATCTCAACAGGAAGGAACTCTTAACATTTCTTTTCAGATTTTACCTTCAAAAAGCAAACCAAGAGTATTAATAAGGCCTTAACTACACTCATTTCTTTCGGTTGGTTAATTTCACTCCCGGCAGGCTGTCATAAGGGTAACTCCATGGGGTAAGAAAGCTTTTAGGTACATTTCGGCATTACTTTTAATAGCAGGAAATTGGAAACGGTCTAAGCGTCCAACAACAAATAAACGTGTTTTGGCATATCCACATATAAAGCGATGTTATGAAGATTTTCCAATAAGCATTGGAAGCCTTTATATTGTTCCAGGAAAGGTTGGTATATAAAACTTTATCTGTGTTTTAAAAAAACATAGCTTCAAGAAAGTAGTAGATGGAAATAACAAATATTAATTGTGGCTATCCCCGGATAATGGGACTGTGGGTGATTATTTCGGTCTTTCTACTCCGATGTCGTTCTTGAGTTGTTCCTAATGCGGAGGAGAGATACCGCGGGATAAATTTTAAAGGAACAGAGACATGCAGTCGGAATCAAAAGTAAGGCAAGTTTAGTAAGATCATACCAACACCCGCACCGAGGCTGTTTCCTTATACAGTTTACCCTTGAACCACACAGGGCTAAGGGGCACTGACCTCTGAAGGTAGTTGAAAATCCACATACAACCTCGACTCCCCTCAAAATTAACTAATGAGATAGCTTAATGTTGACCAGAAGTCTCATAATAACATAAGCGGTAGATTAACACATATTTCGTGCATTATATGTATTACGTACTGTATCCTCACCGTAAAGTAAGGTGAAGAAATGTTGTTAAGAGAAAATCATAAGAGAAAACACGCCTGTGGTGTATGTAGTACTGTATTTACCAAAACATGACCCGCATGGAAGTGGATTATTTCACACCCGTCTCGTTCACACCCGTGTCGTTCACACCCGTGGTGTTCACACCCATATTGTTCACAACTGTGTCGCTCATACCCAGGAGTCACAGCTGTGTCGTTCCCAGCGGTGGCGTTCTCACCCGTGGCGTTCACACCCGTGTCATTCACAGCCGTGTTGTCCACACCTGTGGTGTTCATGCCGGTATTGTTCACACCTGTGTTCACACCCGTGTCACCCACACCCATGTTGTTCACACCCGTGTGCACACCTGTGTTCAAGGCTCAAGTGTAGTTGACAAGGACGTGAAGACGCGGACTGGGACCGGTACTGTAGCCTCTGTCAGATTCAGCGTCCCATTTTCAAGGACAGGTTTGTTCTTTCTCAGGAGGGGGCAGGTGCGCACCTCGTCCAGGTCGTACCCCGCGGGTCCAGGCCACCCCTTCCAGAGCCCGTGCAGTCCGGGCTTTTCCGTGCTCGGGAAAGGCGGGCCCTCAATGCTGTCTCCGTCCCAGAGGCCGTCCCGGCAGAGGTCCGCTAGTTATTTCCAGCGTGGCCCTGTTGGAGACATTCCTGGCGCCAATACTGTTCTCACTGGACGTTCTTAACGGACCAAAGTCACTCTGCCCCGGCCGCCTCCACAGCACACGCCAGAGAAGGACGGGAACGGGGTCCTCCACCGGCCCCACGGAAGGGGGACGGCCCAGCCTCCATCCCCTTGCCATCCCCTTCCCCAGCGTGTCTCGTCTCCACGGCGCTCGGCCGGCCTCGCCTACCACGGCCGGGGTACGTCCTGGGTTGCCGGCTTGTGCGCCTCCCCGCCCAACTTCGAGCGCCGTGAGGCCGCTCTGCTCGCTGATGTGCACCTAGCGTGTCGGCCAGGGCCTCCGCCGGGTTGATTGGGATTTTGAAAGGACACGTGAACTTTGGCTGCATTTTGCCCACCTGGGGGTCTCTGCTAGTAAATCCAGTCGCTCTGAACACTCACCCTCCTTGTTCTGTGTTCGTCTGCAGTTTGAGATGCTCACGGGATCGCTGCCGTTCCAGGGGAAGGACAGGAAGGAGACCATGGCCCTCATCCTCAAGTGAGTAGGAAACACCCACCCTTGGGGAATCTATCCAGTATGCCCAGCACCTTCCAAAGCAAGAGCTTCGGTCTTGGAAGCCCGGGTTGTTAAGTAGGCATCAGCAACAACCGTGATATGCATTCTTGGCGTTTTCGCTGCAGGGGAGACGCTGACGGGGATCCCCCAGTGACCCTGGTGAAGCGCAGATAACGTTTTCCATCAGCAAAATCGCGTGTGGTGTCAGCGGCAGGGAGTGTGGTGATCAGGGACCTTCAGAAACAAAGTACAGATTCGGAAGGGCAGAGGACTTAGGGGCTCCAGAGAGCACAAGAGTGGGGGTTCCTTTCTTTCTCTCCCTCTTGACCCCATTCGTTCAGGTCCCTGAGCTCTCCTGCCTCACGTTGGCGAGGAATCACGTTGCCCACGTGACTGGACACACGCACAATTTTCTGTTCAGTTCTCCCAAAGAATCAATTACCGTGCAAGTGGATGTTGCTCTTAGCATCCCGGAAAGACGTGTAAACCCAGTGCCGGTCCTGCGATGACACCTTAAACATGAGCAGGCTCTGTGTAAGCGCGATGTCAGAAGGGAAAGCTCCAGGAGGAGAAGACAGGAGCGTGGATGGGGGTAGAGAAGCGGCTGGAAACAGGTACCCCTCGCTCCAAATTAGCGTCCCTCTGCTGTGCGAGGGCGTAGAGAAGCCGTAAAGCTGCTGGTCCTCGTGACCCGCTCTCGCAAACCCTGCAGGTGGACACGACACTTTTATAAAAGCAAGAGGCGCCTAAAAAGCTTAAGTTTTTGTAGGTTGCGCCATTGTATAAGTGGGAGGAGAGAAAGGAGTGGAGGAAAGCTCACAGAGAGGATTTGATCAGTGTCTTCCTCTGTTGTGGGCGACGGATCTATGGCTGCGGTCTGCTATTTTTGCACCGTTTACCTCTGTGACTTTTAATTTTAAGGGGGAACACGTGCTGTACTTTCTCTAAACCGAGAATAATCCCCTCCGGCTAATCCTGTGTGTGGACTCGTCGCTTGGGAGTGGCTGAGCATTTCTGAAAGTCAACACCAAGCTGTGGTCCCATGGCTCCCAGAACACAATCTGGGGACCCCGGGGACCGAGAGCCTCCTGGGGGCTCACAGGCTCCTCCTTTCCTGGATGTTTTCTCTTTTTTTGCAGTCATTTGGGTCAATTAGATTACTGGGTTTTATTTTATTTTCATTTTATGTTTTTCATCACAGTAGGTTGATAAGTGTACATTAACTTTTTGAGGAACCTGCACACCGTTTTCCAGAGCGGCTGCACCAGTCTGCATTCCCACCAACAGTGCCGGAGGGTTCCTCTTTCTCCGCATCCTTGCCAACCTCTGTTGCTGCCTGAGTTGTTGATGTTAGCCACTCTGACAGGCGTGAGGTGATATCTCATTGTAGTTTTGATCTGTATTTCCCTGATGATGTGTGATGTGGGGCATCTTTTCACAAATCTGTTGGCTATCTGAAGGTCTTCTTTGGAAAAATTCTATTCATGTCTTCTGCCCATTTTTTTAGTTGGATTATTTGGTTTTGGGATGAGGAGTTGTGTCCGTTCTTTATGTATGTTGGATACTAACCCTTTATCCGATATGTCATCTGCAAATATCTTCTCCCATTCCGTCGGTTTTTTTTTTTTTTTTTTAGTTTTGTTGATCGTTTCCTTCGCTCTGCAGAAGCTGTTTATTTTGATGTGTCTCCAATAGTTCATTTTTGCTTTTATTTCCCTTGTCTCCGGAGACATACCTGGAAAAATGTTGGTAGGGCTGACGTCAGAGGTGTTGCTGCCTGTGTTCTCTAGGACTTTTATGGTTTCGGGTCTCACATTTAGGTCTCTCATCTATTTTGAGTTTATTTGTGTGTGTGGTTACGAAAGTGGTCCAGGTCTGTTGTTCTACATGTCGCTGCCCAGTTTTCCCAGCACCGCTTGCTGAAGAGACCGTCTGTTTCCCATTGGATATTCTTTTCTGCTTTATTGAAGATTAGTTGACTATATATTTCTGGGTTTATTTCTGGGTTCTCTGTTCCATTGATCTGTGTGTGTTTGTGCCAGTCCCATACTGTCTTGATTAGTACAGCTTTGTAATTAACTTGAAGTCTGGAATTGTGACGCCTCCAGCATTGGTTTTCTTTTTCAGGATTGCTTTGGCTATGTGAGGTCTTTTGTGGTTCCATCCAAAGTTTAGGATTGTTTGTGCTAGCTCCGTGAAGTCCCAGATTTTCTTCCTGTACTGCAACAGATCGAACACAGAGGTAGATAAGCATATCTGCCTTTCTCTCCTCTCACCCAGAAGAGAGTCCCGAACTGTAAACAATATCACTCTTCTAGCCAAACCTTTTTTTGTTATTTTGGAAAACGTGGTTCGTAGCGTAGTAACGTAGTAAAACATCATTTAAAACGTTACTTATGTTAATGGGATTCTTAGTGTTTCTTTTTAATGGTTGCATTAGTTTTGAAGCGAATTATTCAATCGCTATGGTAAAGATTTCTCTCCTCGAACCCACGTAAACAGAAGTTCTTTGATGCCCGCCGTGACTTCTAGGGCGCAGAAGGGCCCTAAGGCCAGAAAGTTTGGGTGCTGCTGCTCTGGGTCACGTCGGTTTGATCTGTTCATGCTGACTGAGCAGGCTCGCAAAGTGCTGGAGAAAACTCTGGCCGTCCTTCTCATCCTAAACTACAACTCCATTTTCAGAGCCAAGCTGGGCATGCCACAGTTCCTCAGCACCGAAGCCCAGAGCCTGCTGAGAGCCCTCTTCAAACGGAACCCGTGCAACCGTCTGGGTAAGAGCCCGCATGCGCCCCGGGACGGCAGGGGCCACCCGCCCGCCCACCTCTACTGCCTGCCTGCACGTTTTACCAGGTTCACTGAGAGCAAGGGGCCTGAATCAGGTGTGCAAATGCCCTCTCGCATCCAAGCTACAAGGACTTCGAAGACACAGTCTCTGGCCAAGGGTTATTAGCTATTTCCCAAAAGGCACTGTTTTTGCACAAAAGGGTGGAACTTGTTTCTACTCGTTTTACGTTTAGAACCCCGCAAACCTAGGAGAGGACGGCTGAAAGCTGCCTCTTGTTCAGTCCCCCTTAAGTTAATACATCCTAACGTGTGTGAAAATCGAGATTTACGTGAATGTTAGCCAAGCACTAATCCACTTTCAGAATCACTCTCCGCGAAAGGTTTCCCCCGGCTGCCTCTCGGTGGACTTCTCCTGCAGACGCACGGGTTGCCTAGGACTCCCGCGAGTAACACAGCTGCCGAATCCTCTTTGCCCGCGTTGTCACGGGCACCTGCGTGCGTGCTGAGCGTAGTGACGCGTGGTCAGTGGTCAGCAGTGCGGTGGGGCCGTCGGGCGGGAGGAGGTGCCCGGCACGGTGCCCACTACGGGGGGAGCTGGAGAGCAAGGACACGAGCAGGCCCCGTCCTGGTGCCCGCATAGCGCCAGGCTCTGCTGTCCAGAGAGCTGATGGAGCAACGTATTAACACTCGGCAAAACCCACCAACATTCTAAACCGTGTACGTTCCTCTACCAGGAGATGTTACTTCTGGAAGTCTATCCAGCCTGTAAGTTGCATGTATAAAAAAGGCTTGTTTAACAACGACCTAGAAATAAGGCATATGTCCAACAGTAAGGACACCGTCAAGTAAATTACAGCACGTCGTCCCAGACCTACAGGGCAGCCGTTTAAATGGGGCATGCTGTCACCAGGTGTCCCCGCGATGGCACCAGTGACCTCTCAACTGGGTAATTCTCTCTCGTGGAGGACCATCTTGCACTGCAGGATGTTCAGCATCCCCGGCCCCTCCCTCGATGCCTCCCTCCCCCTGCCATAGCAAGTACAGCCGTCTCTAGCCTTGACCCTGGGGACAGCCCCCCGGTGAGACCCTGGTTCTGTAAACCCGGCTAGAGAGATGCCCAGCATCTATCTAGTTGCAGAGATGAGTTGCTACAGAGTCTAAAGGCATCCCATGGTGGAGCCTGTACCCATTTTACAGCAGAGGCGGTCTCTGCAAGGGGGTGTGGGGAGACCCACGTGAGCCCCGGCTCCGAACACCCACCTTGCACAAGCCCCGGGATGGTGTCTGTTAAATGGCTGTGGTCGAATGACTTTGATTCAAACCAGCCAGCGTGATAACTGTGCACCTCTTAGGCGCTGCACCAAATAGGGGCCCAGAGGCCGGACCCTAAAGGCAGGGCCTGCTCACTGGGCCACAGGCACTTCCCTGGAGGCAAGGCCGAGGCCCTCCCTGGAGAGCGGCTCTGATCACTGAGCCACCAGGTGCCAGCGGGCAGGGCAGGGAGCCTTGAGGTCCAGGATGGGGCGCACCCCGGCCTCCACGGTGGGTTTTACACTGTGGTGACAGTCAGGGGCTGTCGTGGTGTCTGTGCGTCCAGCTCGTGATCCGGAGGAATCCTCCAGGGCTAAACAGAATCTCCTCCACCTTGTTTCGGGCACCCCAGTGAAGTCCCAGACGGGACCTAAAGACTCTGGCCAAGAATCGTCAGGACCCCTCCTTGTCCTGGCTCTGACCGAGGCAAGGCCGGGGCCCTCGATTCTGAGCCATGCAGCGACGCCTGCACCAGGCCCTTCCATTAGGAACCGGGCTTGCCCGCTCCCCGGCCGCGTGTGCCTGCACAGGCAGGCTCGGGAGGGCGGGAAAGGCTTGCCTCTCTCTCCGCCTTGGCGGTCTCCCCTACACGGCACGGGGCTGCCGCAGACGAGGCCCTCACGTCACCGTGGAGCCACCCTGCCCTGCGGGTGAGGGCCACGGGGGCAGAGGGAGAACACAGCCCCAGGAACGCAGATGGGGAGTCGAGGGCCTGCGTCTGACCCTTCGTCCCGGAACTGCTGTGTCGTTGCAATTTTGCCAAACCCCGTGTGGCCTGGCCCGGGTGCCTCCGCGAGAGAGCAGACGCTCACATCCGTCCCCGTGGCCTCAGGGGAGGAGGTAGGCAGCACCTGGTAATCGCGAGAGGTGTTTTAAGACCTAGAAGCAAACAGTAAATGCCTCCCTCCGTTCGGTGTGTTCACTCCCTCCAGTTCATCCCTGAGCATCGCACAAAGATCGTGACCGTTTGCCTGTTTCTGATCTGACTTCCCTGATCATGAATCAATTGATTACCTCCCCTGAACGTCTCCGTCCGTGTGCGCGTGACGCAGAAGGAATCCCTCCCCGTCCAAAGCCAACCTGCGCTGCAGCCTGGCCCGTCTTACCCCGCAGAACGCACCTGCCTCAGAGTCTGGGGTGCACATAAACATCTGGCTGGTCATTTCCACTCATTTCTGGGCCCCCCGAGCCCACCCGGTCAGAGCCCCCGTGTTGTTCTGTCCGTCTTCAGATGCCTGGTCCCGACACCTGGGCGCACCTCTACTTTGATTCTGTGTCTCCTTCCCGAGTGCTCTACCCTGCCCGGCGTGGGCACAGCCTCTCCGCACAGCCCGGAGGCAGGCTGGGGGCAGCTCAAGCACTCCTCTGCCCAGCTCACTCCTCTTCTGGGGCCTCGGCCCTCCCGGGGAGGACGGTGGTGTGCATGGGGCACTGCCCTAAGAGAATCATTATCTCATTGAAATCCTCACAGCAGTAAGGAGGGTATTCACAGAACGCCTGAGTCACTTACAGTTGTTGAACTCGACAATGTCGTTTTTCACAGTGCCGTTTCTTTTTCTCGAAGTAGCGACTCACGTGGCAGTAGGGGGTTGTAAGCATTGGCTCGGCAGCTGGTTAGCGAAAGCCCAGATCTACCCGTCTTCTAGGTTTACTGTCCCTAGTGCATTGTTTTTCCATCCTCGTGAGTGGTGCCTTGTGGTCGCAAAGTGGCTGCCACAGCCCCAGGCGTCACATTCAGTTGAAGGGAGGAAATGGATGAAACGAGCTGCCTCCGTCCCTTTTATCGGGAAGGCAAAGCTTTCCCCAAACCTTGGGACTTCCCTGTGCTTCTTGTGGACGAGAAACCGTCACATGGCACTTCTAGCTAAAAGGAAGGTAGGAAGACAAGTATCGGGATACGAGGAATGGGGGACTGGGAATGGTTGTCTTATTTGCCAGCCGCAAGGTCAACCGAGGAGGTATTCAGGAAAGGGTGAGCGGACTTGAGGGAGGCCCTGTGCCTGGCCTGCCCCCCCCGCCCCCATTTCTCATTCCTCTCGGGCAGATCTTAGGGACCCATTGGTTAGGAAGGAGAGGGACTCTACAGTATGTAATCCAGGCTTGCTGGAACGTGGAGAATGGCAGGGGTGAGCCTAGAGAAGGGGGGATCCTGAGGAGCCCCGGGTGGCAGCACCAGGCACAGGGGCAGAGGGCCAGGACCGCATCCTCTCCGGACCGCTTCCCTCTCTGTGAACAGAGCGTGACGGCAGTAACTATCTCCAGTGTGGTCGGACGGACTGGAAGGGCCAGGGCAGTGCCTGACCCACAGCACACACTGTAACGTGTCTGACAGATCTGTGAGAAGGCAGAGATTGGCGGCGCACAGAGACCCGTGGCGGAGCCTGTGTCGGGACCTCTTGGCCATGTTGCTTCCCCCCGATCGGACCCTCTTTCTCTGCCGCCTGGTTGTGGGACAGGGCAGAGCAAGGTTGTCCGATGCACAAGGACCGGTAGCCTAGCTCTGGCAAAAAAAAAAAAAAATGTCATTTTATGGGATGCGTTCAAAAGATACAGTTAAACATTTTCCTGAGATCGTTGCAAAAAAAAGGAAGATCGAATGTCTGCCTTCCACGACAGGACAGCATTCAGGTAACTTACCTCATCCTGAATTTGAACCAGAAAGAGAACAGGGCTTCCCCAGTCACGGAGAAGAGGGGGCCCGACCCAGTTGCCCCCAGAGGACTCTCCACACAGTGCTCCAACAGTAATTGTGCTGATGGCTGGAACTCTTCTTTCAGGACCAAGTCTGTGCCGCACGGATCTGTCCAGCCTCCGCCTCGTCGCTGTCTGGTGCACGGGGCACGTGCGGAAATCACACACTTCCTAAGGGGGCCGGGGTCGCACCTCCTCTCCCGCACAGCTGCCCTCTCGGACACGCCCGAGGGAGCCTGGCTGTGAGTCTTAGCCTGCCCGACCTCTCCCGCAGGAGACCAGGCTCAAAACAGAGAGACAAAAACGCGGGGCACGTCCGCTCGCTGAGACACACGCGAAAATGTGATTCCGACCCGTCTCCTGTAGACGCTGGAGAATTCTGTCTGGAAGCCAGTCTCCTTTCGGATACCATTGCATTTGCCAGAGAGCATTTGTCACAGTGACCCAGGTGAATGCGACACGGGGAGGGGCTGTGTTCTCCCTTTGTTCTGGAAGAGGCATATAATTTTCGAAATAGTCTATTTTTTGTCTTAGCATGTAATTATACAAAAATCATAGTTCTCTAACCCCAAATATTACTTTATCATTAGTTTAAAATTTTTTTTTAATGTTTTATTTATTTTTGAGACAGAGAGAGACAGAGCATGGACAGGGGAGGGGCAGAGACAGAGGGAGACACGGAATCCGAAACAGGCTCCAGGCTCCGAGCTGTCAGCCCAGAGCCCGACGTGGGGCTCAAACTCATGAACTGTGAGATCGTGACCTAAGCTGAAGTTGGACGCTTCACCGACTGAGCCACCCAGGCACCCCTATTTTATTATTTAGTTTAAATAATTGACGAGCGAGAAAGATGGACGTGTTTAGTGTATAAATAATCATCCGTTAGAAGATACTGGCCCATTGGAGCCCACGGAGGCATGGAAGCCAGCCGTCTGTGGCCAAAGACTGCCCTCCAAATCATCTCTAAAGGGGATCATCACACAGC